TTTCCTCATTTTCCGTGTCAACAGTAAAAGGATTCCTGATCCACATTTTACTGCCGTGAATTGGAGGAAAATATTCCTTCAAGCATGATTTTAGCCCCAAAAGATTCTCTTTGATTGATGAGGAAATGTCATCTGAAACATTACGTTCTTCATCTTGGTTTTGTAATTCTGTTAAAGTAGAGAAAGACCTATAATTTCTCTTCTCAACTCGATGTACCCACAAGTTAATTTTTTTTCTATAGCTGCTTCTATTTTTTCCTATACTTTAAAAATATTTATGTTAGCATCTTGTAAATTTAGATTTAATTCATTTAAGAAGCCCAAAATGTCACATAAATAGGCCACCTTAATTAACCAATGTAAATTATGAAGCCTGTCTCTAAATTCAAATATTGCATCCTTTGCTGATGGTGGTTGTTGCTCCAAAAACAAGATAACTTCATTCTTCATTTCGATGAGTCTTTTGTAAAACATTTCATTTTGATAACCACTGAACTTCACAGTGTAATAGGAGATGCTCGTGTTCACTTCTTAAATCTTTCCACAAAGCAGTATAGATTCTGAAATTCAACGAACAAGATTTTATATCGTTTATAAATTTAACACATTCTTGCATAGTTGAATTCAAAAGTAAGGGCATTTTCTTCACAGCTAACACCTCTCTGTGAATGCTACAATGCACCCATTCACAGTCTGGTGCCACTGCTCGGATCCTCTGAAAAACTCCTGTATGGGAACCTACCATTGAGCGAGCACCATCGGTACTCAATCCAACAGATTTTTTCCATTGAATACCACTCTGAATTATAAAATTATTGATTAAATTAAAAATTTTGTCAGCCCTTGTTCTATAAGAATTGTGTCCTTATAATCATATCTTACAAAGCACATTAAATTGGTATTATCTGCTATGTCTGTGCTTTCATTCACTTGTAATGAAAAAACTGACTACAAGTGAACTCGACATATAAGTGTTTCTTCAATATTTTTTGCCATATCTACAATTCTATGCTTCACTGTATTATTAGATAGGGACAGTACATTCAACTGATTTTCTTGTTTTTTATAAACACGAGATGTAATTATTTTTACTGCAGGAAGTATTAACGTTTCACCAATAGTATGCAGATAACCTGTCTCGACTATTAGTTTTGAAATTTCATACGAGGCCATAACCAAGTCTTCATTGGAAGATTTCATTGAAAAGTGTGTGAAATGATTTGTTTGGAAAAACTATTTCATTTTTCTTATTTTTGAAAAAATCTATTGGCTTACTCAAGTATTCTGGATGTCTGGTATCCAAGAGGTGTTTCAGTTTCGATGGTTTCATGCTCTCATTTGATAATGTTGGACAACAAAGAAAACATAGTGGCAAGTCATTATTGCTACCACCACTTATAAAACCATACTTCAAATATTCATCACAATACTGTTGAGTCTAAGAGGTTTTTGTTTTCTTGTCTTTGATACCAAGCTGGACATCACTTAAATGTTTATAATTAGGCCTATTATTTTCACT